TTAGCATAGTGAGTAAGTGTGTGTGTGCATGTGACCACTAACAGTGTGTTTACTACACTCCCCCATTCGCGAGCAGGGAACTTGATCTGCCAACCTGAAGTGTTGTTGTAAATGAAGCCGGTCTCATGAGCATCAAAGTCCTTTAACACCATTACTGTTAATTCAACAAACTTGTGAGGCAATGTCAAAAAGTACATTTGCCAACCAAGACACATTCTACCAAGTCTTCTAACCACTATAAGTGTCCATGTGCGATTCAACATGTTTTAACACTAAGTAGTTTGTATGACATGTTGTCCTATCTTGTCTAAAGGTGATCTGTGATGTGTCTTGAATGTCCACACTGGTAGTGTGGGTGAATGCCTGCTGTGTCACAGCCTCCTCATGGCAGCCTCTCATTTACACTCTGAACTCTCGCCAACTATTCTGTTTCTATGTAGTTTTGACAATATAAATAATACGAATAAGTGGAAAAAGCAGTACACATTTTATTTTAAAAATCAATATCTCTTATAAAAGCATTTATTTTGTTGCACTCAATTGTATACAAAAAACATGAGAAAGTAGGTTGATGAACTATTTAAAAAAGACAACTTGCACTGCACAGGGGAATTGCACTGCCATTGCACACCAGGCTAAACACTGTGTAAATTGGGTTAGATGTCCTGTTTAGGGAATCCTCTAATGTGACATGTTTACATGCTTTATAGTTTAAAAAAAGCAATGATTTGCTCTTTCTTTACCTTGACATCAGTTAAAGGGGCCCCATTAACCCTATTTTTAGGATCACATATTTGTATTGTCTGCCTCTACTGCGACATGTCTCCATGCTTTAATGTTCAAAAAGCTCTTTATGTTTTTCATACTGCCTGTGCTGCAGCACCTCTTTTCACCCTCTGTCTGAAACCAGAGCCCAGTCTGCTCTGATTGGTTAGCTGGCTGGCTCTGCTCTGTTGTGATTGGTAACCGCTTAGCGGTGTGTCGCGAAATTTCTCATACCACTGTGTTGGGCACTAGCAATAGAGGCGTTCATAGTGAAGTTCACTATTGTTTCAGCACAAGTACAACACACCTCCAATTGAAACATTGCAGGGGCAGGGGCGCAGAGTGTGGGGAATAGACTTTGAGATTTGTAGCGGCTTCAGCCAGACCATTTACATCAGGGGGGTCGCACTCTTTTTCAGCTCGGGAGCTACTTTAAAATGACGACAGCGCCCCAAGATGATCTCTTACAGGGCGCGCCCTGCAAGCACTCTGTGTCACGAGCGGCTGCTAGTGGACTAAATGGTGGGCGCGCTCCACACTAATTGCGCTGCATAGGCGGCATAATACGTGCGCCGCGTTTGCGCTTCAGATGAGGAGGGGTGGGCCCCCTCATAAGCGCATGAAAGCAGTATGGGCACAATAAAAACGTCAAGACTGGCTTACTGTATGTCAACTCAAGTGGCCATGCCATAGTAAGCGATGGATGATAGGGTAACTTTTTTTTCCTTTCATGCCATGCGATCTACCCCATCTA